GGGACGGGCGGCGCGGCCGCAGCGTGCTCCAGCGCCCAAGCAGCGCAGCCACAGCCTGCGCTGGGGGGCGGGGCCGAGCGGCAAGGCTGCAGCCTGCCAGCCCCGGAGCTGCAGCTGCTTCGGAGGCTGGGGGGAGAGCAGCGTGGCCAGAAGCAGAGAGATTCTGGCCCCGCCTCTTCCCTTCTGGCTGTGCTGCTTCTCCTTGCTCCCTCTGTTGGGGAGAGGGGCTGTGTCCCACCTCTCCCTCTCTATACCCATTCATAAGCTGACCCCCTTCTCTGGTGCTTCCCTTTTTTACTAAAAAAATTCGGCTTATGAACGAGTATCTATGGTCAGGGCCGGCTTTAGACCGATTCCGCCGATTCCCCGGAATCGGGCCCCACGCCTAAGAGGGCCCCACTCCCCTGGCCGGAGCGCAGCAAGCCCTGCGGCTCCACTCGCCTGGCGGGAGCCGCGGCCCCGCTCCCCCGGCCAGAGTGCCGGCCCGGCAAGCCCCGAGGTGCCGCTCTCCGGTCAGAGCGCCGGCCAGAGCCCAGCAACCACGTGGCCCCGCAACCCCGGCCGGAGCACGGCAGTCCGAAGTGCTGCTGAAGACTCGGAGCGCCGCCCAGTGAGTACCTCTTGCTAAAGCCGGCCCTGTATACGGTAATTAAAAAACCCAAATCTTGTGAGACAAATTTTTATTCTTTTTTTGACCAGTTCTTGTGCTCAGCACAGTGCTTATTACTATGTGTTTTGCCACTGTAGTCAATAGTGCTCAGTAGGATTTTCCTCCTTGCTTTCACAAGGTATGCAACAGATTAGTTGCCCTTCTTTTAAACCTGAGTTGGTAGGTTGGCCTGGGACTGTGCTTTGTTGCTGTAGAAAGAAGTGGGTTTGGAGGAGTGACCTGGAGGAGCGTGAGGTTATGAGGTGTACAGGAATCCTCAAGTGTACTTCCCACTGAATCCATAGTGATGCTTATTCAAGAACTCATTCTGGACGAGTTGTGAACAGTGAGGAACTGCCCATGTATTTAATACTATAAGCCAAAGGGGAAAGCATTGAGATGATAGTTAATACAACAGAATGTTGTCTGAGGTTCTATTACTGGCTCATGCTGTTGTGGTAAAGCTGAGGAATTAATCAAATATAAATACCATCATGAAAACAAGTCTGTTTACTTTCTGATAATAGACCTTTATCCTGTGGCAATTTTCTATTCCATAGCACACACATAAACGCCAACATCTTGTCTAACAGTGCTTGATGCAGTAAGCCACAGTGCGATTACCAAAAAGATGTTGCTTTTATTTATAGAATTACATTTTTGTTTTGTTACAAGATGCTTTCTATATTAGCTAGAGTGGGATTTTTTGTTTTGCTTTGTTTCTTTACAGTACTTTGATTAGATAGTTCAGCTGACTTGACAACTTTATCTTTTCTAAATGTTCTTTACCTTTTTCTTGCTTGAAAAAGCCCTTCTTCATAGGTTTGCACCCAAGTAATATCATCTCCCCAGCCTGTAATCACAATGGAGGGATTAATCAACAGAGTCTTTGAAAATAACTTCTGTTTTGGGCATTTATCAATATCTTGCACAGAGATAGGATTTTTTTTTATCCAGTGCCTTCAAAACTCCATGTAGATATTAAGTCTCTCAACTTTTGAGTATTACACTAATTTAACAGATAAGTAAACTTAGGCACAAAGGACCAGGGAACAGGTTTACAAAGGTATTCAAGTTTCTAAAGAGGCAGATAGGCACCAAGTTGGAATTTCAAAAACACCTAGGCAAGTTACTTGCCAAACTTAAGCACTTAGGCAAGCACCTAGTGGAATTTACAATCTTCATTAGTCCTCAGGTCCCTGAGTCTGGCTGACCTGCATTTGATGCAGAGCCTGAAGTCAGGGGACAAAAGTAGGATGAAAAAAGAGTTCCCAACACTCATAGTTGTGGAGAAAAGTTTGAAAATGTGACCCGTAAAATTTCAAATACCAGCAGACAAAAGGATTCCAAAATCAATATTTTAAAAAAAACAACCTCATATTTTTTAATCTAATCTCATAATTTTGGGGCCTGAATCATGATTTTTTTTTAACATTAGGAGTTGGCAACACTAAGTCTGTTCATGCAGTCTTTATCAAGAATTAATATTAAAAATATTTCCAGATGAATTACCAGCCTCTCTACTCATCCCCACCTAGTCATTTTCTGGTCTTGAGGAGGGTATTGTCCAATTGATTCATGTGCCTTATCAGATCCCCAATGTGCAAGTTCTTGTTTAATAGGTTCAGACTCCTCAACAATGTTACTTCCCTATTAAGGCTGTGGTGGGAGTACTATTGCTGCAAGAGTTGAACACCAATTGATTTGGATTTGGAACCAGCTGAAGATCCTGCCTGATTCTTCTCTGCTGAGTATCTTGGTCAATCTCAACCATGTAGGAGCTTGTAGTAAAGCTCCACCTTGTGACAACAGCCAATATTGTTCAATCTCTTTCCTTATCCAGTCTTGTCAGTATTTGATCTTCGATAAGATTTGGGCTGCATTCTAATGGGTTAAAGAGGAAGGCCTGAGATGTTTTAAATCTGGTATCTCTTGGCCTCCTATCATTTAAGGAGGACCATTTAGGTTAATGATGTATCTCTCAGGTTGGTAATATTATTCTGATCTGTTTCACCAATAAGCAGCTGAGCTTGGCTTGAGTCAGTGACTGAGGTAGGGGGTTGTTTTATAGCTCAGAAGAGCTAATATAAGGTCTCTTTATTGTAGTAGAGATTTCTTAGCAATCTGGACTGCTGGAAAGAGCAATATACTCCCTTATTAGTTCTGGGGGCTGCAAGTTACATACTTAAACTTATACTGTGTCTCAGAAGCTTGGAATTCAGAGCAAGCAAGCTGTCACATGCTGTCAGTGACTATTTCTTCCACATTTCCAAAATAAGGAATGATGCCTTATGCTGCAAAATTCAAATGATTCTAGCTTCCATTTTCAATCCTGTCCTATGTGGAGTGACATATTAGGGCTTGGTCCTGGCATTTTTTTAAAGCATTGCTGGTCAAAGACTGTAGGACTTCAGTATGATTGCAATAGGTTATCAGACTTTCAGCTACAGAGAGTTCCCCTCTCTTTGCATGGAAGGATGTGTGAGCCCTCAGGGGTACTTGGGATTAGATGGGAGTTATATGGTGCATGTGCCTTGTGCTAATTCTCTTTGTGTGGGATGAATTTTGCCAAGTGTGAGTTATGGGTACTTGAGGACTATAGAATTCTTAAATATTACATGATAGGCAGGGCCAGCTCTAAGCACCAGCAAAACAAGCTGGTGCTTGGGGTGGCATTCTGGCATGGGCCATGCCGCCCCTTCAAGCAAGAAAAAGGTAAAAATGTGCCCCGGCCGCCCTAACTCACCTCCGCTGCTGCCGCTGCTCGCCCTCCCTCCCAGGCTCTCAAACCCGGGAGGGAAGGGGAGATCCCGCGCGGCCGCGGCGCGCGAAACAGCTGATTCGCACGCTGCGGCCACTCGGGATCTCCCCCTCCCTCCCAGGTTTGAGAGCCTGGGAGGGAGGGGGAGCAGCGGCGCGCGAATCAGCTGTTTCGCACGCCGCGGCCACTCGGGATCTCCCCCTCCCTCGCGCGTTTGAGAGCTTGGGAGGGAGGGGAGACCCTGAGTGGCCGCGGCGTGCGAAACAGCTGATTCGCGCGCCGCTGCTCACCCTCCCTCCCAGGCTCTCAAACCTGGGAGGGAGGGCGAGCAGCGGCAGCAGCGGAGGTGAGTTAGGGCGGCCGGGGCACATTTTTACCTTTTTCTTGCTTGAAGGGGCGGCATGGCCCATGCCAGAATGCCACCCCAAGCACCAGCTTGTTTTGCTGGTGCTTAGAGCTGGCCCTGCCTATCATGTAATATTTAAGAATTCTATAGTGCTCAAGTACCCATAACTCACACTTGGCAAAATTCATCCCACACAAAGAGAATTAGCACAAGGCA